TAATTCTTCTTTGAAGTGTATAAGGATTCAGGTGGCGTTAGTTATCATGGATTCTAGTTAGTTACAGTGTTCTTTTTAATAATGTACGCTATTCCTTTAGGAAAACATGTAAAAAACATTAAAATGAACGAACATTTAATATATATGTGAAATTGTAGTTTTCCATGAAATGATGAGTTATAAGGGTTGTAGCTAGAGATGTAAAGCGAGGTGTCTGTTAAGATTTGAGGTTCTATCTCAAAAGATCAATCTTCTTAAAAGTAGCCAAAACTCTTATAAATTGTTCTATATTTTCATCTTTATTCGATATGAGATTTTATCTCTTAACATGCCCCACAAGATGATAGCTCGTTTGAACATACAAATCTTGAAATCCGTGTGTCTAATTTTTTTTGAGTTTTAATCGGATCGAATTACTCATTCCAGCTTAACGAGCTCTGATATCATGTTAAGATTTGTAATTCTATCTTAAAATGACGACCTTATTTATTAAGAGGCGCAGTCCAAACTCCTATAAATTGGTCTATGTTTTCATCTTTATTTGATGTGGAAATTTATCATTTAACACTGTCTAGACGATATTGGCCGGCCACAGGTCATGTGAATGGCCATTTTTTAAAGGTATTGCTAAGGTGAATGCATCAAAATATTGAGGAAAAGCTTTTTTCTTTTTTTCCTTTCAGTAATTGCAAAATCGTGTTCAAGTGGAGTCGACAACAAAAAATAAATATACATAATATTTAATTATAATTTATTAGTGAGAGTGAAAAAGACATTGTTGACATGTTCGGGTCGGATTAAAATCTGATTTTAATCTAAATCAAAGTCAAACAATCAATATTAATCACATTTTTCATGGATCCCATATCTTTCAACAACACATTTCAAAAACTTCTATCACAATCCACTAAAAATCTAATTTTAATCTACACATCTTTAATTTTTTTTATTGTTTTTTAAATAGAGCTTATATCGTAGGTTAAACCCCAAATTCGAAGATGAATGATGCAGAAGGAAGTGTTTTGGAGAACATGCAAAATTAGGAAATACGTGCGAAGCATTCAAGAAAATTAGCGTATACATATCGATACAAAGATTTAGACAAAGCAAAAAACATATCATTGGAAAGATAATTGAATTTAAATTTTAACTCAAAAAATGAAACACAATTTAAAATTGTACGAAAATAATTAAATGAGAACCATATTGTTGGAGGCCAAAAAGTTGTGAGCAACTACCCATCCCAGACGAATTTTGGAGGCAAAATTGGCATGTTTGTTGCACGCAGCTCACCCCCAAGCATAGGGCGGACACCCCATACCCAACCATATATTTTCTTCTTATTTTCGAACGGTGAAGTAGAGGCAGCACGGATATTCTTCAAGGCGCGATTTTCTAGGCAATCAAGGATTATATAAAAGGTCAAATTGAGATGAGAAAAACATAGCCGCGATATACCATAACATAGAGACTTCTTTGGGGGAGAAACAAAAGCACTACTTTGCTCAAGGGTCTGGAGATTTTCAAGATTGAAGGAGAGGGTTTCTTGGTACAAGATTAATACTTTATTTCTTCTTTTGTTCTTTTAAGAATTTGGTGATGTACCATCAATCTAGCGATTGTTTTTCATCGTCTAATATGTTTAACTTATATAGTTATGATGAATGATGTAACTTAGATAGATCCATTGATTTCTTTTATCAAGTTCTTTCTTCTCTTTATCATTTAAATATTCTTTTTGCTACAATTCTCAATGCTTAGAGTAATTATCGTTATTCGATTGATTTGTGAATGGTAATTGAAGAATTCAATATATAAGAAAGAACACAAAGAATTACATGGTTCGACGCCAGTGTATCAAACCTACATCCACAAGAGAAGAGATAAAACTATATTCACTTATATCCGAAATGTTACAATAACACATATATATAGTCATATTACAACAAGGTTGCCTTATTAAAGATGAGACAATCACATAAATAATATAACAAATTATGGAAACATTCCAATTATCATCAACCAATATTCTCAAAATCATGTCATAATATTTTCTTCAATATTAACAAATATTTTTCAAATCACCAAATATCTCTCTTCTCCAACAGTAATGAGTCCAAAGATGAATTACTTGTTTAAATCACGAAGTAAAAACCTGACAATTGGGTAAAATATAGAGAAGCACATTTACTATTATTGTGGTCCGTAATTGAATTCTTTTGTGATTTAATGTGCTTAACTAAGAACTATTGATTTGACTTAATTAAGGAGGATTAATTTGAACTCGAGATATGTAAATCAATCTATTTAGATAAATTTGATAAGATACATATTTTTTATTACAATTAAGCTACTTGTACAGATGATTTGTATACATGATTTGTATACATTTGTAGACAAATGATGAGATGACTCAAGCCACATCATCATCTATTAACAAAACTATCAAACTAATTGTACATGTATCATATCTGTTTTAATTATTGTAGGAACTTGATGATAAGAATTAAGGGAGATAAGTAAGGTCAAATCATGAAGACTAGCACTTTTCACATGTAAGTAACAATCCAAATTGTTAATTTGTACATTTTTTAAAAATTATTTTCTTAGTTAATTTTAGTGTTAGTATAAAATTGTCATCAGTGAGATCGATACCCTATTCAGTAATATATTACTTTTTATTGATATTGTACATTTTTCACGTACAAGTTTTTATTTTCTTCTTCACGATCTCACCCTTATCTTTACAACCAATTCAATCCACCCTTGCATTTCCAACCCCTTACCGGAGTCTTCCTCTTTGTTTTCCAGCCTATAGCCACTGTATTGATAACACGCTCTTCCTTGATTCGACGTTGACTTGGCTGTTGCCAATTTGACTTGGTTGAGTCAATTTTAATTATGTTTCGCGTGGATTATCGCTAACAATTAAAAGAAAGGTTCAGATGATTGTGCAAGAAACAAATTTCTTGAGACAAAGTCCCAAAAAAGGGTGCTTTATTTATGAAGATTACAATTGGAAAGAAGCAAAACGCTTCCAAGGAGCACAAGTACACGAAATAAATTGAAAATTTGTAAATAGAAAGTAAATGAATTGAAATTACATATTCTCTGTTGAGAGTGTTTGATTTTTGGTCCTTCCTTCTATATCTTATTTTCCTTTTTATACTCCTTTGCCGGTTTTCTCTTGTAAAACTGCTTGGAAACTGCTGAACAAAACGATATATTTATTCAGACCTTGGGTGTTTCGAAGGCTTGTGCGAGAGTGAGACCGTCGTTCTGAGCAACAATAGAACACTTCATTCGCTCAGATCATGGGCGTTCTGAAAGCTTGGGCGATGATAGTCCTCTGCTCGTGGGCTGTCACTATATTTTACAGTTGTCTTATTTGGGCCCATTCCTCAATTTCCATAACTGGGCTCCATTTCTTGGACCACATAATTGAGTCTTACTTAATAATTTGGTCTCATTTAATTATTGGGCCTCATTTTTGTATGTCAACAAGATTAAAAGAAAAAACAAACTGAAACAAAAATTATAATTTGAAGTAATTATTTACTATTTGCATCCTTGGAATGCCACTTTTAACAAATTCGCTTAGCATTTTTTGCATTTCAATCCCTAAGTTTTA